AAATAACAATGCCAGATAGGAGATACCTTCTTTTGAGTTCTTGGCCAGGGTGGCCAAAGGGACTCCCAAATAGTAACCCAGCACAGAACTGGGAAAATGAACAGCAGACCCCAGTCTTACCCAAAGGAATATAGACAACTGATTACCACTAGATGAGGAACAGCTGACCTTCCTAAAACAAAGACCTCTAGATAGGGTGACTAGATTCACCAGAAGGGCAAGTAGTGGGGAATAGCTGGGGGTGCCAGCAGACAGTAGCAGGGATATCAGGGCTCTAGTGAGGGGAGGGAGGCTATGGGAGGGTGCTACCTGGGCAGTGGGTGTATAAATAAATTTAAAAAAGAAAAAAAGAAAAAAAAAATTCTTCAAAGTATAAAAATTTGCTCCTTAATAATCAGATGTGAAAAACATTACCACTGAAATCTACCTGATGACTTTATATCCATGCTCAGATACCAAGGAGCTCAGAAAGTAACCGACTGTGACTAGTAATAATCAGATATATAGAGATTAGAAACGCATGTGCATCTTAGTGTCAATTGTATTAAAAATGAATTTTTCAGTATGAAACTATTTTAATAATGAAACAGATATTTTTTAAAGTGTAAAACCTCATTTAATTTTATGTCTTATAGTGTTTAGACAGAGTACAATATTGTATAACTATTAATTCAACTATATACCTAAAAATTTACAGCCAATTTTGAAAGAGATGCATCTTAGCTCTGGAAATTGTTATTGAATATGTCAATGTTGTTGTAATGAAATGCTTCTTCTAATTATATGGTTATTAAATAAATAATTTTTTTAAAAAGTATAGCATAGAAGATTTATGTGTCAAGCTCAGGATTTTATTCATTGTAGCTTCTGATGTCTTTAGGGAAAAAAAAAAAGATCCTATATAAGAAATTCAAAAGCATAAATAAAAAACTTTAAAAACTGACACGTATCAGCTAAGGCACAGCACTGCTTAGAATGAACCAGTAATAAACACCATGCTTCCCACTTACTCCATTAACATCAGCTTCAGATACTTTGCCAAGTATCTCCAGGCAGTTTTGTTCTTAGTGCATCCAGCAAAATCCAAGACTCCAAACAGCACGCCCAAGCCCAGCTTCCGGTGTTCTTCTTTCTCTGCAGGGGTTACAACAATCCAAGTTTACAGAAGGCACTCAAGAAACACAGAGCTAGCTGAGAGTGGTGTGCACACCTTTAATCTCAGCACTCGGGAGGTGGAGGTAGGCAGATCTCTGGGAAACAGAGGCCAGCCTATGTCTTCAGAAGACCCTGTCTCAAACAACAACAACAACAACAGAGATGTGTACACAGAGCTAAAGAGATACATAAAGTTAATAAAGTATTACTGAACTGTAAGCCTTCTGGTCGGCCAACTGTTTAAAACAATTTGTTATGCTCATAGTCTTGTGAAATTGATGGTCAATGAGGTCAAGAGCTATCTGCATGGTTTGCACGCCTCTAGTCATGTATGACTGAAAACGTTAATTAATTAATTTATTTTATGTATATGAGTGTATTGTCTGCATGTATGTGAGTGCACCCGTGTTGTGCAGTTCCACAGAGGTCAGAAGAGGGCTTCAGATTCCCCTGGAGCTACAGTTAACGACAGTTCATAGCTGCCATGTGGGTGATAGGAATCGAACCTGGGTCCTCTGCAAGAGCAGTCAGTGCTCTTAACCGCTGAGTCATCTTTCCAGCCCCTGAAAACGTTATTTAAAGTACCTGATCTACTGGCCATTTCTGGTATAGTTCCTTCTCATAGAAGAGGGATCTACAGTCATTGTGGCAAGCTGATTTCCTTCTAAGAAGGATGATCTTTAGCCAGGCGTGGTGGCACATACCTGTAGTCCCAGCACTTGGGAACCAGAGGCAGGTGTATCTCTGTGAGTTCAAGGCCAGCCTGGTCAACATAGTGAGCTCCAGGCCAGCTGGGGCTACAGGGAAACCCCATTTCAAAAAAAAAAAAAAAAAAAAAAAAAAAAAAAAAGTATGATCTCTTCCAGACTGAGCTCAAGTCCTCCAGGGATTAAAAGGTGTGTCATATAACTGAAAGGCATGTTTCTCTTCCTAACTGTGGCCCAATGTTCTGTATTAGAACTAGGCAAACACTGCTCTGTAAAGGACCAGGTAGCAAACACTTTGAGTTTTGTGAGCCACATAGTGTCTATCACAACCAGAGGCTCTGCAGCTGTTATGCAAAACCAACCATAGACAGCACACAAGTGAATGGACTACAGTTGGATCTTATTTGTGAAAACAGGTGACGGGGAGATTTAGCCTCTGGGCAGTAAATGGCTGATCCTTAATCTATAGTCTATATGTACAAAGTAGTATAAGACAAAAATCACTTACCTGATTTTCTAAGTAACATATGGAATTCTAACATTAATTTGTGGGATGGTACAATCTCATGTAAAATCTAAAAGAAAAACATAATCTTGTAATTTACACACTATAAAGGCATTTCTCAAATCTCAGCTTAATAAACTCTCAGCAAATGAATCAAGGTTTTAAAAGTCACTTTGCTTTTATCCACTTTCGATCTGAACATAAAGTATTCTCTGGAAAGCTATTTTAGAAAATAAATTTCCAGGGGCTGGGGAGGTGGCTCCATGGGTAAAGTGCAAACATGAGGACCTGAGTTTGGATCCCCAACACTACATTAAAAAGCCTGGGGGAGATGGGAGCGGGCTGGAGAGATGGCTCAGCAGTTAAGAATACTTGCTGTTCCTCCAGTGGACCTTGGTTCAATTCCCAGCACCCACATGGCAGCTAACAACCATCTGTAACTCCAGTTCCAGGGGATCTGACGCCCTCTTCTGGCCTGTGCAGGTTTTTCATGGCACAGTTGCACTTAGACACATGAAGGCAATACATTCATATACATAAAATAAAAATAATTTTTTCTTAAAAAAAAAAAAAAAAAAGCCAGGTATGGGGTTGGAGAGATGGCTTAGCACTTTAGAGCATGGGCTACTCTTGCAGAGGACAAGGGTTTGGTTCCCAGCATCGACATGGTGGCTAAGAACCATCCATAACTCCAATTTAAATAAATTAAATAATAAAGTCAGGTGCACCATGACTTTTAATCCCAGCACTACGAGGTATGAACAGGGGGATACTGAAACTCAGTGGCAAAGCATGTATTTAGCATGGTGGAAGTCCTAGGTTCAGGACGGAGGGAGAGAAGGAATGTATACAACTCAACACACACACACACACACACACACACACACACACACACACACACAATTTTTTTTTAAAAAGCAAGACTTGAATAGACATTTCTCCACAGATGACAACAAACAGCCAACAAACACCAAATGAAAGATGCACCAGCATGATTAATCACTAGGGAAGTACAATCTCTACAATGAGATACCACTTCATACCCAATAGACTACCTATTATCTGAAACAAAAGAGGAAAATAAAGAGTAGGAAAGGGTGTGAGAAGCCTGGAACTCATGTGTTCCTGGCAAGAATATAAAACAGGGCACAGTGCTGTGGAGAGCAGGCGATGGCTCCTCAAAGTGTTAATGAAGAATTACTGTATCATGCAGGGATTTCTCCCAGGTATCCTAAAGAACTCAAAGCAGGACACAGACACTCACACACCCATCTTCACAGAAGCATTATTTACTACAGTTACCCTCTGACGCCCCTCAAATATCTACCAACAGATGAGCAGGCAAGCCAAATGCCTTACATAGGTAGAATGTAACATTTGGCCTTACAAAGGAAGGAAATTCTGATATGTGTTGCAACCTGATGAATCCTGGAAACATGATGTTGAATGGAATTAACAGTTACACAGAGGAATAAATACTGTATAATTCTACTTATAGGAGGAAAATTCATTAAGAATTTCATTAGTAGAAGTTAGACTGTTAGGGTCTAGAGGGAAGGAATAACAACAGCAATGTGCTGTTTTCATGAGTACAGAAACTCTGTGATAATTGGGGACAGAGAGATGGCTCAGTGGTTAGGAGCACTGGCTGTTCTTGCAAAGGACCAAGGTTCAATTCCCAGCACTCATATGGTGGCTAAAACCCATCTATAACTTCAGTTCCAGGGGAATCCAAGGCCCTCTTCCAACCTCCAGAGGCACTGCACAACACAGGTACACTTGCATGCATGCATGCAGGCAATCCACTCAATACACAAAAAATAAAAATAATAAATATATTTTTAAAAAAAACTGTGATAATAAAAAGTTCTGGAAATAATGATAACTGTAGAAATAATGAATTTTAATGTTATTAAATTATACTTAAAATGATAAATTTTGTGTTATGCATATTTTAGCATGATAAAAAATTTGAAATAATACTATGTACTATAAAAACCCAAACAGGAACTATTTGGGGATATATTTAACAAAATACATACACTATAAACTAAAACATTTCAGAAAAAAAATAAAGACCTAAGTAAACAGACAATGCCATGTTCAAAGTTTGGAAACTATGATATTATGAAGATAGCAGTTCTCACAAAACTGGTCTACAGGTTCAAAATCTTAGCGAGAATTTTTTTGTGGCAACATACTGGCTTAAAAATGTATACAAAAAGTGAAAGCCAGAAAAATTTTGAAAATGGACAAATTTACGCAGCTGCATGATGTGATCCTAATACTTCTCACACAGTCACAGTGATCATGGTCTGGTACAGAACAGAAATACGCACCATTAGAGCACAGCAGAGCCCATGTGCCACCAACTGATTTCCAACAAAGCTCCCAGTGGGGAAAGGAAAGTCTTTTCAGTAAATAGTGCTGTGACAGCCAGGTAGGGGTGAAATTAACCTTCACCCTTACATCTCACAGCACACAAAAAAATGTTAGCTAAATCCATTATAAACCTTAAGATAAAATCATTCAATACTTCTTGAAACAAAACATAAAGAGAACCTTCATTATTTGGGGGGGGTCAAAGATTTCTCACATAAAAAGCATTAAGCTATAAAAGAAAACAGTTTGGACTTCATCAAAATTAGAAATGTCTGCTCTTTGAAAGACACTGTTAACAGAAAAGGGGTTGAAGGTGTATATATACACTAAAAGCCATAAAATAACTCTCAGTTCAATCCCAAGCAACATGAAAACAAAAAGAAAGGCAAGCAACACCCTGCAGAAAAAAAAAAAAAAATCACAATCCATAGACCTAGCAAAGAACTGTATCTAGATTACACAAAATCTTCCAAATTAATAAGAAAACAACCCCCCACCCTCCAAGAAATAGACAAAACAAACTGACACTTGCCACAAGGATGCACAGAAATGGCCACTAGAAAACGATCTCAGCATTAGGCATTAGAGACAGGCAATGAAATTCACAATGAAAACCCCGGATGCAGCCACTGTCTAACCCAGTCTTCAGCGTCAAAGGCAGGAGAGGATGTGGAGAAACTGAACCTTCATCTTCACATGGTGGGATAACAATGGTTCAGTTTCTTAAGATAAACAAAGACTTTCTTACCTAGCAATTCCACTCTCTGGTAGCCAGTCCTTAGGAAAAATAAGCACCTATGTATCCTCAAAGACTTACGTATGGTGTCAGCAGCATTATTCATAATAGTTTAAAAGTAAAATTAAGTGGGGCTGGAGAGATGGCTCAGCGGTTAAGAGCACTGACTGCTCTTGCAGAGGACCCAGGTTTGAGTCCCAGCACCCACATGGTGGCTAACAACTGTCTGTAACTCCAGTTCTGGGGGAATCCAATGCCTTCTTCTGACCTCCTCAGGCACTGCATGGCACAGGTACACTTACACACATGCAGGCAATACACTCATACACATAAAAATAATAAATAAAATATTTTTTTTAAAGTATAATTGAGGATTGGTCATGTAGCTCAGTGGAAGAGTACTTGCCTAGTATGCACACGGTCCTGGGTTCACTCCCTAGTACTACAAAGAAAAAAAAAAAATAAAGCCAAATGTCCATCAAGAAGTAAAAGATGATGAACCAGGGAGATGTTTCAGTCAGTAAAGCACCCACCCCACAAGCATGAGGACCTGAGTTCAGACCCCAGCACTCACTTGTTAAAAACAAAACAGCAAGGCTGGGCATGGTGGCGTACGCTTTTAATCCCAGCACTCGGGAGGCAAAGGCAAGTGGATCTCTGTGAGTTCAAGGCCAGCCTGGTCTACATAGTGAGTTCCAGGACAGCTGGGGCTACAGGGAGACCCTTTTTTTAAAAAAAAAAAAAAAAAAAAAAAAAAAAAAGAAAGAAAAAAAACCAGCAACCAACAAGGCAAATGTGGTGATGTACAGTAAGCCTAACACCGGGGAGCAGAGATAGGCGTCCCTGGAGCTTACTGGCCAGCCAGTCTAGCCAATAGTTGAGCACCAAGTCTGTGACAGACCCTTTATCAAAAAATAAGGGGGAGACTCCTTCTCCACCTTTTGGCCAAGATCAAGTGTAAAAAATAAAGTGGAACATGATCAAGGAAGACACTGAATGCCAACTCTGTGTGCATGCACATCTATACATATATGTGAGCATACACACATTACACATTACACAAACACATGGACGGACACACACACACACACACACACACATAAAAAAGGGAAGAAATAAATGTGTAAAAGAGTGCTACTCAAGGGCTAGAAAAATGGCTCAGGAATTAAAAGCACTGGCTGCTCTTGTAGAAGACCAGGGTTCAGGTTCAGGTTCACATGGTAGCTAACACCCATCCTTAATTCCAGTTCCAGGGACTCTGGCCTCCCCTGGCATCGCACACATGTGGTACTCTTATATACATGCAGGCAAAACACTCAAACACAAAATAAAAAATAATCATATATTTTACTCACCTACAGTAAGTCATTAATACATATTAGAGCAGGGAGAAAACCCAAAAGTACGCATGAGAAGCCAGACAAAAAAAGTGAAAACTGTAAGACTGCATATAATTCTAGAAGAGGCTTAAAAATAAATACGCCAGCAGTTGCCTGGGGACAGGGATGTGTGAACAGACTAGTTCTTTAAGAAAGCAGGGGATTCTGAAGGTGCAGCAATGTTCTAGATCTTCATTACACAGCAGTTACATGGAGGCAGCTATTTGTTAAAATGCATCCAAGTGTTGAAATAATATGTAAATTAAATGTCAATAGAGTTGGTTTTCAAAAATACCACTGCAGAGCTTCCCAACCAGAGTGCAGAGGGTTTCTGAAACACTGACCCCTCAACCTCAGAAGCAGGGTCTTCCTAGAGCCTGCAGAGGGAGCAACATGCTGTTCACCTCAGCACACCACGGGGACACTCCTACCTCCTTGTTATCGTCATCGTGCTGATTTTTGTTTTGTTGTGGTGCTGGGGATCAAACCCAGGGTCGTGCACACTAGTCAAGTGCTCTGCCACTGAGCTACATCCCTAGCCCTTATTACAGGAGGGATTATAGCACCATTTTTTTTTTGGTGCTATAATCCAAAGTTGGAAAGCAATGCCCTCCTATTCAAATACTGAAAACCAAACCAACAAAGGAAACCTCCATACCTTAAGTACACTTATCAGCTTCGCTCTTGGTGCCTTCTCTCTCTTTAGAAAGTCGTATAAGTAGATATGGGCATTCGGGTTTGATGGGAACTTTTCATCATAGGCATAGTTGGTGAGTACATTTCGGGCTCCATCTTGATCACCATAGAACTCTAGCATCTGTATAAAATAAATTATGCCATGGATGAATTCTGTAAAATAACTCTACAAAAAGGTAACTGCAACTTTACTGCTAAGAACAACAACAAAAAAACCATAAAACTGACCACTACTACACAGAAGACAACTGAATGCTACCTTTGCTGCTCCAGCACTGCCACAGCTTCTGCAGAACAAGACCACTTACAACAAAGATCTTCATGTGGCCCATTTTCTTCTTTTTACTGAACAAGAAACATAAGAACTGTTCTGGAGCTAGAGATGGCTCAGTGGTTAAGAGCACTGGCTGCTCTTGCAGAGGACCCAGGTTCAATTCCCAGCACCTGCATGGTAGCTGACAACCATCTATAACTCCAGTTCCAGGGGATTCGACACCTTCTTCTGACCTCTGTGGCCACTGAACGACACAGGTGCACTTACACAGATGCAGGCAATATACTCATACACATAAAATTTTAAAATTACTTTAAAAAATTAATATATATAAAAAAAGAACTGTTCCTACAAGGAAATGAAAGTCTTCAAAGCAAGACTTACTAATGACTGAAAATATGACACAATCCATCTGTGACCTGCATAACTGCAGCCCTAAAGGGCTGTGTGACAATCACAGCTCCTTCATCTTATTCCTGGTTTAGGGTTTTTTTGGTTTTTTGGGGTTTTTTTGTCTTTTTGAGACAGGGTCTCCCTGTAGCCCCACCTGGTCTGAAACTTACTATGTACACCAGGCTGGCCTTGAACTCACAGAGATCTACCTGCCTCTGCCTCCCAAGTGCTGGGATTAGAGGCTTTCTCATTCCTGTTTTTACACAGAAATGCAGACTGACCAGGTATCTTCTGCCAACACAGATCACTGTAGCGCTCAGACATTCAGAGAGCAGTGCTAGAGTCCTCTGCCCTTTTGCAATGACTCTGAAACAGTGGAATAGCTTCATAAACTTTCTAAAAGCCATTATTTTCTTCACCCCATATACTGTGATCTGGATTCAGGTTCTTGTCCACTTCCCCTCTATATACAACCAAAACATTACAGATCTTCCTGCTTTTATTTTATGCTCAATAAGAATCATGTTGACTTAACTAAAAAAGTGCTAGAGACATGGCTCATCGGGTCAAGGTGCTTATTGCAAAGCCTGATGATCTGAGTTCTTCAATTCCCAGGAACGCCCCCCCACCTTTTTTTTTTAAAACTTGGTATGTTTGAGTTAAAACCTCATTCAATTTCATGTCTTACAAGGTTTATACTGAGTACAATATTATATAACTGTATTAATTCAACTGTAAACCTAAAAATTTATAGCCAATTTTGAAAGAGACGTGCCCTAGCTCAGAAAAATGTTATTGAATAGGTTAATGCTGTTTTAATGAAATGCTTCTTCTAATTATGTGGTTATTAAATAAACAATTTTAAAAAGAATTATAAAATAAAAAAAAGAAATAAAAATATTTTTAAAAGAAATAAAAAATAAAAATTTTTTTAAGTAAATATTTTTTTAATTAATTGCATACACAGGGCTGGGGAAGTATCTCAGCTGGTGCAGTGCTCACCGAGGCCTTGTCTCCTAAGGTTCCAGTCTCACAAAACAGCACCGGCTAGGGACAGAGTACTGAAATACATGAGCCTTTTTTAAAGATCTATTTTATTACTTTTAATTATATGTGTGTAATCTGTGTGTAGGTCTGTACTGTAAGTGCAGGTACCCATGGAGGCCAGAGGAAGGTGTTGAAAACCCTGTATCTGGAGTTACAGGCAGCTATCTGTGAGCCACCCAGTATGGGTGATGGAAATCAAACTCAGGTCCTCTGCAAGAGCAGTACACACTCATAACTGCTAAGCCCTCTCTTCAGCCCCTCAAACACATGAGTCTTTGTGGGACATTTTATAGTCAAGCCATAAAAGGTTATCCAGTGGTAAAACTAAACAAGACTAACTTGCATAACATGTTAATAAAATAAACAGAAGTAATTCATACCAAAAAATAATTGTTTTGTTTTTGGCAGTTTTTCTCTATTAGTTTTGTTCTGATCAATGATGATTAGGCATAGTCTTTGCATAGGCTTAAGACAAAGATAAAACTAACATAATCTTTTGTTTTATTTTTTGAGGCCAAGTCTTATTATGCAGCGCAGGCTAGCCCTGAACTTACTATGTATCCCAGGCTAGTCTCAAATTTGCAGCAATCCTTCTGCCTCAGTCTCCTGAGTGCTGGGTCTACAAATGTGTCACCATGCCCAGCTTACTAATACAAGCTTATGAAAAGTCTACTTACCTCTACGTAGCTCTTCACAAAAGGATCCCAAACCCCAGGAACTTTAATCAATGCACAAATATTTACAGATGTCTTGCAGCTCTGGCTGAGCATATTTTGAGATTTTGAGGTGTAAGCATAATCATCCTCATCTGATCAAATACAAAACATTTTTAAAATTCATTAAATATTAAAGAGTTCTGTTAAATTAGTAATCAGAAAACCCACAGCAATGCTCAAGTCCCGATGGCTCCCTGGTGAACTTATCAAACATGAAAAGAACCGGCATCTCATAAATATGATGTCAAACTGAACAAGATACTAGTAAACAGTGGCTGGAGAAATGGCTTGGTGGCTAAGAGCAGTGACTGCTCTTGCAGAGGACCCAGGTTCATTTTCCAGCACCAACATGGCAGCTAACAACCATCCATAACTCCAATTCCAGGAGAATCTGATACCCCCTTCCAGCTTCTACAAGCATAGCACACATGTGGTATACTTACACACAGGCAGAACTCTTGGGCACATAAATATTTTTTTAAAGATATTAGCAAACAATTATACACCAGGCCCAAGTAGGATCTAATTAAGGAATGCCAGGTTAGCTTAACAGTTGAAAATAAATTAATACAAACAATAAAGATCTAATCTCTAAACCAAATCAGTGCATGGTCATCTCAATAGATGCAAGAAAAGTACATGACAAGTTCAATTAACCCTTCATGTTATAAAAAATATTCACCAGGGCCAGCAAATCTCTGTGAGTTCAAGTCCAGCCTGACCTACATAGTGAGTTTCAAGTCAGCTGGGGCTACAGGGAAATTGTCTCAAAAAGACCAAAAAAAAAAAAAAAAAAAAAAAATTTTTGTCGCATATGAAATAAACAAAAATTCAATTAAAAATATACAAAAAAATCGATGGCTAACAACAAGCTTGATGAAAACTGGGCACTTTTCTCCTGTCAGAACAAGACAAGGATATCTTCTCTCACTACACTAGAGGCAGTTAAGCAAGGAAATAATAAAAAAAAACTCAATAGCTAACAAGCTTGATGAAAACTGTACTTTTCTCCTAATGTCAGAACAAGACAAGGATATCTTCTCTCACTACACCAGTGCAGTTAAGCAAGGAAATAATACAGCACTAGTACTAATAAAGCAATGCATCAAGGTTTCAGAGTACACGATCACTACATAAAAATTAATTATGTACACAGGACTGGGGAGGTGTCTCAGTTGGTACGGTGCTTACCTACCACACATGAAGGCCTGGGTTTGAGACCGAGCACCACACAAAGCAGGCATGGTGGTGAACACCTGTCATCCCAGTATTTGGGAAGTAGAGGCAAAAAGATCAGGAATTCAAGGTCATTCACAGCTACATTCCATGTCTGAGGCCAGCCTTAGCTACATTAGACCCTTTCTCAAAAAAGAAAAAAAAAAATCTATCTATATATTTGGAAGGAAAATAAGAAAATGAAATTAGAAAAGCAAAGCCGTTCACAAAGCAACAAAAGGGGCTGGTATATAGCTCTGTCAGTAAAATGCTTGCTATGCAAGTCTGAAACCTGAGTCACATTCCCAGAACCCAAGTAAAATACCTGAGCATGGCTGTATAAGCTTAAAAAATCCAAGCACTGAGTCAGGCATGGTGGTGCATGCCTTTAATCCCAGTACTTTAAACCCAGGCAGATCTCTGTAGGGCAGCATGGTCTACACAGTGAGTTCCAGGCCAGCTAGGGCTAAAGGGAGACCCTGTCTCAAAAAGAACACCCCCCCCCCAAAAAATCCAAGCACTGAAGAGGCAGAGAGGTGGATCCCTAGGGCTTAATGACCAGCCAACCTAGCCTAACTGACAAGCTCCAGGTCAATGAGAGACCATGTCTCGGACTAACACCCAAAGTTGACTGCTGTTATCCACATGCACACTTAATGTACATGGACACCTGCACATACATGCACACACACATGTGCACACACACACATATACACACTCAAAATTAAAAGGAACAAAAGGAATATTTGGGTATAAAATTTTAGAAAATATAAAAAATTACATTCTAAAAAGTAATATTATTGAAAAAGTTACAGGCATAAATAAATGTAAAGATATCTCATGTTCATGGTGTAGAAAACTACTAGTGTTTCTTTTTATTTATTTATTTTTATGTGCATGAGTTTTTTGTCTGTAGGTATATAACCATGTGCCTACAGTGCCTGTGGAGGCCAGAAGAGGATGTTGGCTCCCCTGGAACCGGAGTTAAGGATGACTGTTAGCCGCCATGTGGGTACTGGGAACCAACCCCAGTCCTCTGCAAGAGCAGCCAGTACTCTTAACTGCTGAGTCATCTCTCTAGCCCTAAAAACTACTATTAAATTCATCTTGAATCTTTGAACTCCATCAAAACCCCAGCTGGGGGACTCCAGCCCCCAAGAAGATGGATTTTCAAATTGGTAAATTTACATATATTGTGAATTACATCCAGATTCTCGACAAAACTATTCTTTACAAAAACTTGAGAATACAACACTTAACAAAGTAGCTAATATAAGAACTGACAATAACACCTGCACAGGAAAATATTTACCAAAGAAGCCCTGACTTATACTACAAATTGATAGCCATTTCAGAGATTCTAGCACATTATATACAACTATGGTTTGAATATGGTCCCCCAATGATCTACTGTGATCGAAGGTTTGGACACGGTGGGGGAGGAGCAGTTTAAGAACCTTTGGAAGGTAAGGCCTAATGGGAGATCCTTAGATCAGTGGAGGAGTGAGGAAGTTCATGCCTGCCCTCTTGGTAGCTCCTGTGCAAACCCTTAAACCCGAGTTCTCCCAAGAGGCATGTTATAAACAGAGCAAACCTGGTCCCACTCTATTTTCTCTTTGCTCCTATATGAGATGTGACTGTTTGTTCTACAAGCATTCCCCAAGTGATGCACCACTTGCCCTCACTAAAGGCAAATAAATAGGTTTCCCCAACCTTGGACTTTGAGCCTCCAAAACTGTGAGCAAAAATACCCTTTTTCTCTTTTATAGTCCGATACCTCCAACGATTCTGCTAAAGTAACAAAAAGCTAAGGCATAAAGTGGTAAATGCGCATACTCCACCACAATTCTATGCCTCTCTATGTTCATGTGCACAAAACTGATAGAGATCAAAGAAGCACTATGTATAATATACTCAAAGTATAATAACCTAAGGGTCATCAATTGAAGAATGAATAGTTACTATGAATTTCATACAATGATGTGGGGATGACTTATAACTAAAAAGTCACTCATGTTTTGGGAGCATTATGTATTTAATGCTCTCAGCTCTTTTATAATGTACACAGGCTTACTAGGCCCTGGGATACTCTTGTAACCTAAACATACAGTTGTAATTCTTCATGACCTTTCCTTGTCCTTGACCCAGTGATCAAAGGTTTGGCCCCTGGGAATCTTTGGGAGGTCAGGCCTAATGGGAGGTCCTTAGATGAGTGGAGGAGTGAGGTAGTTGTACATGTGTGTATATGGAGGGGTGTGTGTGTGTGTGTGTTTGTGTGTGATGTGCCATCACATCACTGCACAATGAGATGTGTTATTGCAGTAAAACTGAAAAACTAGAGATACATTCAATAATCTATGTATCTTAAAAACCAAAATTGAACAAAACATACAGAGCCTAAAGAAAACACAGAATGAATCCAAATATAAACTCAGACATAGAAAAACTAAATTGCATCACTTACAGTTGCATACATAGGCAGGAAGAATGCAAATTAAAGCAAGGGAGTAGTTACCATACAAGCCTGGAACAGAGGTTTGCTTGAGACAGAGTGAGAGGAATTGCAATTAGAAATCACAGGTCGGGGGTGGGTGGGCTGGAGAGATTACTCAGCAGTTAAGAGCACTAGCTGCTCTTGCAGAAGACCCGGGTTCAAATCCCAGCAACCACATGGCAGTTAACAACCACCTGTAACTCCAGTTCCAGGGGATCTGATGCCCTCTTCTGTCCTCCTCGGTCACTGCAGAACAGATGCACTTACATACATGCAGGCAATGCATGCATACACACAAAATAAAAATAAATTAATTTTTAAAAAAATCACAAGTGGGGAACTTGCAGGTTAAGGAGACACCAATGGTGTGTTCTTTAACCTGGTGGTAGTTCCAGGGTCAGGCATTGTAAATTCATTCATTATCATCACACACTTGTTTCACATACTCTCTATCCATATTTCTAATCTTAAAGGTTTAAAAGCAAAGTTAGCTGGGCGTGGTGATGCACCCCTTTAGTCCCAGCACAGAGACAGGTGGATTTCTGTGCTTTTGAGGCCAGCCTGGTCTACATAGTGAGTTCCAGGCCAGCTGGGGCTACAGATAAACCCTGTCTCAAAAAGACAAAAAAAAAAAAAACCCTCACCTAATCCATTTATAACAGTACAGTAAGGCTTTTGTTGTTGTTTGCTTGTGTTTTTAGACAGGGTCTTATATAGCCCAGCTAGGCCTCAAACTAGAAGATCCTCCAGCCTCAGCCTCCCAAGGCTGATATTGAATGTATACTCACCACACCTAGCACTCCATAAGCCTTTTCAAAGAAAAAATATTACACCAGGAATTTGGCAAAGTTAAGGACAATGAAAGACAGATATGTGAGAGCGAAAGATCGTTTAGACTAGATGGGAAGACAGAACATAAACCACAGTTGAAAAACAGAAAAAAAAAAAGAGAAGAAGAGCTTAAAAAATACACTGGACACACAGCTGACTTGGAAGGTTCAAGATTTTTTACAATAAGGTTCAGGGAAAGGTCCAGTGAAGGTCAGAGAGTAATCTAGATAAGGAGACTGCAGCGACCTCAACACTATCCCGAGGAATACAGCTCTTCAGAATCATCCTGGAAGACAATTAGGGAAGGAATCAGGATTCCTGCTCAAAACCCAAGGAAATATTGTCTGACAAAAAGGGGTTAATGGGAAGAGCACTTAGCACACAGGAAGTGACAAATAGATTTGGAAGAGGGATGTGAAAATGAATGGGATTTATCCTAGGCAGGCCATGGAGAGAAAGCCAAGTGCAGGGCCTCACAGGGCGACAAAGAACACAAAAGGACCCGCTGGGGGCAGGACAGAGGGGACCTTAGCGTGAGAACTAAGTGGCCAGTCAATCAAGTGAACTACATCGTAAGCACTGAATGAAAATGAAACCATGGCTAGGCGTGATGGTTTGCACCTATTATCCCAGCACTGGGGAGACCAGGGCAGGATTCTGGGCTTTATAATGAGACTATCTCAAAACTACCATTAAAAAGAAAAAAGAAAGAAGCCCTTTCTTTATCTTGCCCTGTTGCTTAAACATACTATTGAGAAACAGTATTATAAAACAAACTAAAGCCATTCTAAACACAAGGAAGAAATGATTATTCCATGTAAAAATAGCTGCCAAAGAACACCTTTCTTGGAAACTGATACTTTCTCCTCTACCAAATTCCAGCCAAGCTCCTCTGGGCCATCTCTAGGCAAGGTCCCAACACTGGCCTGACTTTAAAGACCTGAAGAAACACTAAGTCAATTCCTAAATGCTTAAGGCTGTATCCCTAGGATGACTTTAGCCCCAGCTTAAAGTGGTTGCCTGACAAAACCCAAGGCTGCCAAAAGAATGCAGGGTCACCAACATACGACCCACAAAGGCAGGGACTGCTGGCCTCAGAACGGAGGGTGCCTAACTCCAGTTGCTAAACTGGGTGAACCTCACACGTTCACCTGCCCCTTCAGCTCAGAGAAATTCTTCATTTCCTTAACCCCTTCCCCACCCACACCTTCTTCTCTTTAAAATACCTAGTCACCTCAATATAGACCAGAATGGTACTTATAAGCTCTTCGCCCACTGTTGGTAGTTTCTGAATAAAACCTATTTTCACCACTTTGACTAGTGGTTATCTCTGATAAAAATCACATTAAAAAGAACAATCACTCTAAAATAGTCATGAACTTAAATGATTTAATTTATAACCAGAAATTCTTTTTTTTTCTTTCTTGACATAGGGTCTCAGGTACCATAGACCGGTCTAGAACGTGCTATATAGCTGAGGATGACCTTTAACTCCTGATTCTCCCAAGTTTTGGGATTATATATGTGTGTTCACACCTATTTTATATACTGCCAGGGATCAAACCTAGAACTTCTTGCACTCTACCAAATGAACTACATTCCAGCTCTGGAAAGTTCTTTGCTTTACCAGAAATATGAAAAAGACAATCAGGAACTAAATATGAATACAATGTCTCTGTTCTAGTCTATGTGCATGAACTCAGTGGAGGGTCACTAGACCACTCTGAGAGATTTTTCTTGCCTCTGACCCTGAGAACAAAGTCCACTCTGAAGGAGAGTGCCCCTCAGACCCCCTCCCTATCCTCTGAGAAAAAGCTGCCCTCCACCTGACTCTGGAAATCCCCTCCATTCCGCCTGACTCTGGAAATCCCCTCCTTTGTTCACATCCTTTCCTGGTATCTGTTTATGATTTCTATGGAAATGGTCTGGGGCAGAAGAGAGAGAACGTTCTGCCCCAGGTAAGCTAGCCAATGGCAGTATACCTGATACATCTGTGTATGGTTTCTACGGGAATAATCTGGGGCAGAAGAGAAAGAACATTCTGCCCCAGGTAAGACAGCCAATGGCTGTATAGGTAAAGTCTCTGGAAATCAGCCCTAGATTGTTCCAATCCTTTTCTGGTTATTCTGTGTATAGTTTCTATGGACATCCCCTGCTTCGTGGTTTTTGTGTCTTTTCTGCTTAAAAGCCCTGCGTTTTCACTGCTCAGGGTCACAGTATAGCTCCTGAGACTGTGACCCCAACCAGTTGGCTCCAATAAAGTGCTCCTTTTTACTGAGACTCAGTGTCCAAGTGGTCAATTTAGGGAATTTTACAGACCTCCGAACAACTCCTGTTCACTCACCAAACTCTGACAATTCCATCTTCTTCTTAGACCAAGTATAATACTGTAAAAGTCCTTTGTAGGCCTGAACCAGGTTGATTAATACTTCTTGAGAAGACGACTTTTCACCATACCTCCATGTCTCTGCCTGACTTAGATTTCGGTCAGCATCCTCGAACATTCCATGATGTAAAAGATACAATGCATGTTGTAAGGAGATCTGCATGAATAAGAAAAGCCCGCTGTCATCTAGGTCATTACAGAACTATTAGTCAGAAAACTCAGGAAATAGGAAATATATAATATGCTGGACTAAATCCCTAAGAAGTCAATAGTCAATTTTTCATCTATTCCGTAAATCAAGAAAACCGTGCACTAAAACCTTCATATAAAAAAGAAAACACAGCCGGGCGTGGTGGCGCATACCTTTAATCCCAGCACTCGGGAGGAAGAGGCAGGCAGATCACTGGATCATTGTGAGTTCAAGGCCAGCCTGGTCTACACAGTGAGTTCAGGTCAGCTGGGACTACAGGGAGACCCTGTCTCAAAAAGACAAAAAAAAGAAAAGTGCCGGTGCCAGCCGGCCTTAGATGAACAGCACCTGAAAGGGGGAGTGAGGATTGAAAGAAAAACAAGAGAGACAGAAAAGATGCTTGGGAGGACTGTCAGTAGAGACTGAAGCCCTGGTTTATTTTTGCTCTGCCTTTTTATACAGATCAGATAACCACAGTTTGCTTAGCTCAATTAGCTTCAACAGCTCTTTTTTGCCACCTTTATCTGAGGGTTAAGGAATGGTCAAATACTTGTAGTGAATTCCACCAATTAACCATCTTCCCTAAATTATCAGCACATTCCTCCTGACTTGACAGGACAATTCAGTGCTTGTGTGTAAAACACAAACTCTTGAGTCAAGGTGAAAGGTCATAAAGTAAATAAGCAAGCCTGCCACAGCTCAATGTACATAATGGCTGTGCTTATATTAATAGCTCCCAACAGAAAAGAAAACACACAGAACTGGGCATGATGGCACACGCCTTTAATCCTAGCACTCAGGGGCAGAGGCAGGTGGATCTCTCTAAGATCGAGGCCAGCTTGGTCTACACAGTGAGTTCCAGCTGGGGCTATAGAGAGACCCTGTCTCAAAAAGCAAGAAGAAAAAACAAACAAAAAACCACAGGCAGGAATGTAGATGATACTCGGTCATGTACATTTTCAATCAAAGAAAGACACAGGAAACACCACTATGTAAATAAAAGCAAAATTATATAAAAAGCAGACCGTGTGACATTGGGGAAAAAAAACTTCAAAGACAGTGTCTTGGTTCATGTCCCACATGAACCAAATTATAAGCCTGAACAAGTGGGTCACCATTGTCATAGTTAGCTTCAGTTGTCAACTTGACACACCTGGGAAGAAGGAAACTCAACTAAAGAGTTCCCTCTATCAGACTGTCCTGTGGGCACACCTGTGAGGCATTATCTTAATTGTTCATAGAGGTGGGAGGGCCCAGCCCACTGTAGGTGGTGCTGTCCCTAGGCAGGTGGGCCTGGGCTGAGCATGAGCAGGTAAAGCAAGCCAGTAAGTAGGGCTTCTCTGTGGTCTCTGCTTCAGTTCCTGCCTCAGCTTCCCCTGATGATGGACTGTGACCTGTAAACTAAAATATACCCTTTCCTCCTCAAGTTGGTTTTCGTCGGTGCTTTATCACAGCAACAAGAACAAACTAGGATATCCACTGTTTCCTGTTATTAGCATTGCTGTTATTAGCATTGCTGAAGATTAAATGAGATCATTCTTGCATGCTTAACGGTTCATGTGGTCTACAGCAGACAATATAACAACTTAGATACAGGTCAAATAAGCTCAAAGAAAACAGCTTAATAGAAGTGCTGAAAAAAATGGCTTTAGTTCAGATGGGGGAAAAAAGTATATAAAAGTGTATCCCTGATAGAGAAGAAAAAATAATTACAGAGCCAGGTATGGTGGCCCTCATCTGTAATGCCCAGTACCAGGGAGGCTGAGGCAGGAGGATTGAGAGTTTGAAACAAGCCCAGGCTATACCAAGACCCTGTCTTAAAAAAAGAGAAAGAGTGGCTAGGAAGATGGCTCAGTGGGTAAAGTGCATGGAGTGAAAGCCTGAGGACCAGAGTTCAGATCCCCAGAACCCACATAAAAAGCTGGATATGCATGGCAGCCTGCCTGTACAAGAGGTTGCAACAGGATCCTCAGAACAAGCGCCAGACAGGCTATCCAGAACCAGTGAGCTCCAGATTCAGCAAGACCCTGACTCATAAGGGTCTTGAAAAGTGTAGAAAAACACCAATGTCAACCTCAGATCTCCACACACATGAGCACGCATGTGCCCACAAACTATTGCAATAATTTCTCAACTGGTCTCTCCATTTCTGCTCCCTTCAAGCTATCATCCAAGTGGCTGTCAAAGAAATTTCATCTTGGGCTGGCAAGATGGCTCAGTGCGTCACGCACTAGCTACATAAGGACTTGAGTTCAAATGTGCCTACAGGATAAAATCTAAAGCCATCGCTTTGGCACAGAATGCAGGGACCAGGTCACTTTCCCTAAATTCTACACATTAAAATTTTGGAGTCACTGCAGCTTTGGATACAAGGCTATTAAAGTCTTCTTTATACTCTGCCATGCCAAACTACCCTCCCAGCTCTGCCTACTCAACACCTACCTGCTTGTTCCAAATCCCCTGCATCATATCTCTCCTTTCCTAGCACCCCCATCTGATCAGGCTCGGCCCTCTTCAACTTGAGATAACTGCTCTTCCTTTTCACTGCCTGTGGCAGTCCCACTATAGTACCTTTTTCTCTTTACTCCAGTCACCTGCCTGTCTTCCTCACCCATGAGAACTTGTGCCTATTACACTGCCTAGAGACAGCAATAGTGGGGTTGTTTGGGTACTGGAGGTTGAACCCAGGGCCTTGTATACTAGGCAAGTCTCTACTACTGAACTATATTATCTCAAGCCTTCTTTTTACTTTTTATCTTGAGGCACTATGAAGTTACCCAGGCTATGAAGTCATTCTGCAGCACAAGTAGGCCTTGAACTTGCAATCCTCCTACCTCAGCCTCCTAAATCGCTAAGGTCTGTACCACCAGGCCTGGCAGGAATGGTATTTTTTAAATTATTAACAAAAAAATGTTTTATTGCTTATCCTAATATTTACCCTCAGACCCTGGAGAGAGAAATGAGGTTCCTTTCCAGCTTCTCTACTTCAAATGGGTAGATTTTGAGCCCAAAGGGACCCAGTCTAAGGTTTAGTTAAAATCCACACGCACTTCCCAATCAAACAGCTGTACAGTTTCTTCCTGAAAAAGGAGATGAGACAGCACACAACACGAAGGCAGGCGACTCCTTCCTATTGTTCAGTCAGGACGCTCTTCCTCCAGTGCAATCCCTGCCACCTCCAGCTCTTAGCCACTTGCAGACCATCAGGGTAGCCAGCACATACAGACACACCTAGGAAATTTCTCCTAATTAATAAAATCCAAAGGAATTATGACCTGGGAAATCTGTATTTAAAACTAGAAAATTGAGCCAGACGTGCGCCTCTGCCACAGTGTGCGTAAGTCTTGAAAATATATGCTAAATTCAAAAAAAAAGCACCTAAAAGGATAAATATTGTCTAATTCCACATTTATATAAAATATCTGGAATGGGAAAATTCATGGAAACAGAAAATAGACCAGAGGTTTTGAGAGGGACAAGAAAACAGAGAGCTGTTATTTAACAAATACAAAGTCTATGCCTGTGGTGACTGCAAGTAGAAACAGCGGTGATGGTGATACAACACTGAGTAGAACAAATGTCATGGAACTACACAGACCAATATAAAAGACAGCATGTTTTGTTTTATATACACACATATATAAGACATACATGTGTATATGTATGTATATATTTAAATTGTATTATATAAATTAAATTACATATGCAAATATATAAAATTCAGAAAGAAAAAAAGTAAAAATAAAACAAAGGGCCAGAGAATATATATTTTAGGCTTTGTAGACCATATGGTTTCTGTCACAATTATTCAACCTGTGGCTAAGTTCCTCTGTAACTGTATCATCTTGAAAAAAAAATTAAGAGCAAACTTTATAAAAATCACTGAAAAGTATTCCTTTAGCTAGAAGAACATACTGAGAGGGGAAACAACATTGTAGGATGGTCTCAATTCCTTTTGGTAATGACTCTTCTTAAAAGACAGGAATTCAAGACCGGCATGGTGGTGCCTGCCTTTAATCCCAGCACTCCGGAGGCAGAGGCAAGCAGATCTCTGTGAGTTAAAGGCCAGCCTGGTCTACACAGTGAGTTCCTAGACAGCTGGGACTGTAGGGAGACCCTGTCTCAAAAACACCAAAAAAAAAAAAAAAAAAAAAAAAAGACAGGAATTCAGAGAGAAGGTCCATCCAGACATTTAGGAACATTACAACATTTTATCATATTCAAGTTCCTAACGTTTCAAATTTTCCTTTTTTCCAAAAACACCAACTCAGCTCAAATAACAAGCAAACTACTCCAGCCAAGTCCATGTACACAAGGAAGCACAAGCTCATCTCTGGAGGACCGGTCTTGGCAGCCAGAAACAAAGAAGCTGTTTTCAGTAAGACCACAAGGAAGGTGACTGGAAATCCAGAAGCAGTCTGCACACTGTGCTCGGCTTCTCTACTCTGCAGGCCTTGCCCATTTTCATTATTTTCTACATTACCATTGATATAAGCAATTAAAAACAAACACTGAAATATAAATTCTCAGGCCTACATTCTCACCTTTAAATAATTCAAGACGCCAATATTTTTCATCCGGTCAGCAAAGGTATTGAAAGTCTCCACATTGCTTTTGGGGTGATAAAACAGAATTTCACTTCCAAGCTTCCAAATGACCTGCAAAGCAGAAATTACTACCAAAATGCAAAGTCCTTAACTTATCCAATTTCTTCCTGTAGATTTTTTTTTCTTCTTTTCTGATTATGACATTTAAAAACAACCTTTAATTCCTTTCAATACTTTACTATACTGTACCTAGCAAAACTAGTATTCTACCCTATGTGATAATTACTAAATTTTAAAACACAAGGTGAGAATAACAATGCTATTATTAATACTCTAAAAGGGCACAATTAAGATGTATATTAAAGCTGGGTATGGTGGCACACACCTTTAATTCTAGCACTGGAAAGGCAGAGGCAGGTGGATCTCTATGAGATCATGTCCAGCCTGATCTACATGGTGAGTTCCAGGCCAGCTGGGGCCACAGGGAGACCCTGTCTCAAAAAGACCAAAAAGAAAAAAGAAAGAATCATATTAAATATAAACTTTCTCAATTAGTATACAAAGAATAACCCAGTAAGCAGGCTCTGGGAATACTGGCTCCCTAGTTCTATGCCTCACTGGTCTCAGGCTCATCTTCAGACTGACTAGGCACTTCCTGAAATCCCATCCATATTGAGCACACAGGTTCTAGCTACACCCAGGATAGCAGTTTAAGAGCCACACAAAAATGTGTATTCTACGAGGACTTGAGACAGTTAACAAACAAGAAACATAATAATTCAATTGTCAAGTATTACAGAAAAAAGAAGGCAGAAAGACAAGGAAATCAGGGATGCTGGTCCAAATATAAGGATGGGGGATGAGAGGGAAGTTCCTTAATGGAGCCTTCAAGGAGAGTGGCCATAGCTGAAGATTCTCCCAAGAAAGGGAAGTCGCAAAGGAAGGCTAGCAGGCAGGAGACACCTGGCCCGCTCCAGTGAAAGCAAGGCCAGAGAGGCCAGGGAAGAAAAGCCAAGTGGAAGAGGTGAGGTCAGAGACTAGATGTGGAAAGAAAATCAGTGCATCACGTAGATGTTTGCAGGCTTTTAGACGCCTTTAAAACGCTACCAGGAAAAGAGAAGTGTGCAAAAGCAGGGCTGACAAACTCTGCCCACAATCCCTGTAAGTAGCTCCCAGCAATCAGCTTGAAAACCTATGAAAGCTTTCATGGGTGGAGCTAGAGGCAGAACTCCCAGCAGCCCATGTCTCCAGCAGACTGGGGCCTTGTTTACCTCAGGTGCAGTCTGTCTCTTGTAGCTGTCCGAATCCTCCAAGGTCTGCAAATAACTGTGCATGTACTCTGCAGCTCGCTGCCACTGGTGCCTCAGCAAGGCCTCTTGGATAAACTCCAAACAAGCACTTGTTGTCTGAGCAAAATCCTTCTTCTTTTTCCCTCCAGTCACTGTAACAATGAAAGAGAAGAGTAATTATTCAAGCAGTCCAAAAACTTCTCATAAACACAAGTTTTAACAAGGGCAGTAGGTATTACTGAACCTTGGTTCCATCCCAGAACCAAGCCAACTGCCTTGAAATAAACCCTGCACACATAATTATTTTTAGTGACCCCTCCAACCATGATGGAATGTTGACTGCTGTCTTGTGCAGGTCTTAGGCATGCAGCTACTCCTGCTGAGTTAGTATTGCCATACTCTTGAAACTGACTTATAAAGAAAAATAAAAAATAAAAAATTAGGTTGGACACGAGGGTACATGCCTATAATCTCAGCACTAAGTGAGGCAGGAGATTGTGAGTTCAAGGTTAGCCTGGACGACCTAAGGAACCCTGTGTCAAAAAAAAAAAAAGAAAGAAAAGAAAAGAAAAAAGAAAAGAAAAGAAAAGAAAAAAAAAAAGACAACAAATTTGGGGCTGGAGAGAGGCTCAGTAGTTAAGGGTACTGCTCTGCAGAAGATCTGGGTTCAGATCTCAGCACCCACATGGTGGCTCACAACTATTTTAACTCCAGTTATGACACACACATTACACAAAATTGAAAATAAAAAAATCTCAAAATCAGGGCAGAGGTTGTAATTCAGTGGCAGAACACTTGACTAGCACATGCAAGGCCCTAGATTAGATTCCCAACGTGGCCAAAACAAACAAAAAGGCACACAACCAGCTTGCAGGCCTATTTATACACTCCTCTCTAAGATTAATCTCCCAAAGAGTTGTCCGTGTGGTCAGAGCCTTACCATCAAAATGGACATATTGCTTGAAGGCAAAAAGACAGGCATTGGAAAAGTAAATGATTCTCACATTGCTCTTTGGAAGTCAAGTGATTTCCAAAATCTGCCTGTCAAAACTGCAGGGACAGCTGCTAAATTGTTAAGAGCTCACTGTGTAACTGGGTGATAAAATACTTAAACTCCCTTTGCTCCTCATGTGACCCCCTGGATCTCTCAATTTACATAAACTGAAACAAAACATAGAACTGATGCTAAATTTTTTCTTTTTCTTTTTTTTTTTTTCTTTTTCTTTTTGAGACAGGATATCCCTGTAGCCCCAGCTGGCCTGGAAGTCACTATGTAGACCAGGCTGGCCTTTATCTCACAGAGCTCTGCCTGCCTCTGAATCCCAAGTGCTGAGATTAAAGGCCTGTGCCACCACGCCCGGGTCTATACAGGGAACAGTCCAGCTGTGTGTGGTGTGCAGCTGTAATCTCATCACTTGGAATGCTGAGGTAAGAAGACTGTAAGCCAGAAGTCAGCCTGAGTTTTTATATATAAAGACAGAAAGAGAAAAGGAACATAAATACATTAACAGTTACCCATGAGTTTATAAAGTAACTCAGTGGCAGTGATAAAAGTGAAAGATAACCTTAGCTATTTTATTGATTGAGGTAAAGATACCCAGGTGGGGTGGTGCACACCTTTAATACCAGCACTTGGAAGGCGGAGGCAAGCAGATCTCTGTGAGACTGAGGCCAGCCTGGTCTACATAGTGAGTTCCAAGGCTAGCTAGGGCTACAGGAAGACTGGTCTCAAAACAAAACAAAACAAAAATGTACAGGGTATTAAAAGTGCGCATAGAGATATATACACTTGCTACAAAAAAAGTACAATCAATAAGAGAGTATTATAAGTCTTTACCTACTAAAAACTTTGCCATTAATTTTTTTAAATGGATAAAAGGATATTACACTTTTTTAATAGTTTGTAATTTTTATTTTATGTATATGAGTGTATTGCTTGCATGCAGGGCGGGCACCTGCGTCCTGCAATGCCTGCAGAGGTCAGAAGAGGGTGTCGGATCCCCTGGTACTGGAATTAGGGATGGTTGTTAGCCACCGTGTGGGTGCTGGGAATTGAACCCAGGTCCTCTGCAAGAGCAGCCATCTCTCCAGCCCCATATTATACTTCTATACTATTTAGATTGTACCAGATCTATTTTTAAAAGTAATACAGCCAGTTGTTGTGGCACATGCCTTTAATCCCAGCATTCAGGAGGTAGAGACAGGCGGATGGCTCACTTACAAAATCTGGGCAAGGTAGTACACAGATTTTCTTTTTTTAAATATTTAGCAAGGGATATTTAAGTAAACACATGCTACAGACTACAGCTCCTCAGCTGGACATGGGGTCCACACCTTTGATCTCAGCACTGAGAGGGCAAGGGTAGAGGACTGATGCAAGTACGAGGCTAACCTGCTACAGAAGTTCTAGCCTGGTCAAGATGAAACATTGAGGCCCTGTCTCCAGGAAGGGAAAAAAGGCCACAGCCCTTGACCAGCTGCTTCTCAAACCATCTAATGGACACATAAGTCTCAGGGGATCCTCCCTCAGCATTGTTACTGAATCAGAAAGATGTGAGTTTGTGTTTCCTTATATCATTATGAGTTTAATTTCCTTAAAATTCAGGTCCTCATATGAAAAATGCTTAGCACATACATTTACTGAGGACTAATTTACTGGGAATATAAAACTAAAATTTTCAAATGGAAGCTAAATTCTAGAAGCCAAGGAATCCTTGCCAAGGAGAAAGACAGGGCTAAAAAGAGGACATGCTGGTGTGGCTGATTTCAAAGTCTTCCAACACATGGCAGCATACTAGTTCTTCTTTATACATACAACCTATCCCATTTTTTAAAAACTTGTCTGCATTTACATTAAATTAAAAATGGAGAAAATACTTTATTACATCATCGATTCTATAAAGAATTCTTTGCATACAATTCAACAGAAATTTCTTGAACACCTGCTATGTATGTGCTGTCAATGAGGGAGTCTATCTTCTTCTATAAGTCCCCAATATTTGGCTAATGACAAAAACTGTAGGAGCTCAGTCAACAGGGCTAAAAATAAATGTTTATCCGTCATAATACAGAGTATATATTATTGGATCAAAAAGGGAAAAAAAAAAAAAAACCTCTAAAAGGGAAAAAAGGAATTGATTTCTTAAAATTTCCTTTTCATTTGTCGCCAAAAGAAAAAACTCACATATTCCTCTCTTGAAAATAGGCATTACAGCACACAGCCATGATCCCAGCATTTGGGAGGCTGAGGCAGGATGACAACCATGATTTCTGGACCAATCTGGGTTACCTAAATGAGTTCCATAGCAAGACCGTAGGGGCGGGAGGGGGGCCTTAATGACTCATTTTGAATCCATGTTGAATTTCACAGTTCTTTGCCCTGAAGTTTAAAGGCTCCACGTTGTGTTACTTACCCACAGTTTCTAACTGTTTCTGGAGCCATGGGAAATGCATTCCTGTACCAGATGATACAGAAGTTTCCACCTGTTCATCCTCCGTCACAGGCTTGGTCAGTTGTTCACTGAAATCGCTCATCTAATCCAAAATGAGAATACCAGTTAGTTTCGGTATCTCCTGATCCACGAGGAGCTGAACTACACAGAAAAGCAGTCATCTTTTCATCTACTATCATAGGACCAGCGAAACTCATTGTACCTCACAGATGTTTTAAAGAAAAAACTGAATTTATGCCAGCAACAGCCAAAATGAAAGTTCCATCTAAAACAGAGATCTGTACTGCCATGTATCATGTACATGCAAAAATGACACTGCCCCTTAATTACAAAGTAAAAACCTCAACTTAGAGAATTGAAAACTACGTAAGTACAATAATAGTAGCTAGTATTTATTAGGCCTTAACTATGTGCCTGGCCTATTAAGTATCTAAATTAATCCTTACAGCACTCCTGAGGTGAGTACTATTATTTTCTTCCACGTTGGTGTTGAAAAACTGAGTGCTGAGAGTATGTAACTTGTCCCCCCAAAATGAAGACAATACTCTAGAGAAATACAGAGCACATAGGCTTGTTGTGTAAGAACGGCCTGGGGATGGGTGGGGGCCACTGCAATCACATAAACTAACCTACAAAGACAGCCATATGCCAATGAGTTTGAATTAGTCATCAAAGTGTCCCAGACCCTTCTGATACTATGACAAAGAATTCTCAAATTTCCCTCCTTCCCGCAAACCTACAGCATTACTAGCTCAGCATTACTAGCATGTCTAGCTCAGGACACCTTCAAATGTGTCTAGACTACTCCATTCACCTTACTTTTTGTTTTCTGAGGTACTGGGGATGGAATCTGGGGCCTTGTGCCTGCTGGCAAACGGTTTCACATAGAGTATGAATTAATATATTTAATATATAACATGTTAATATATGTTACGTTTCACTTTTATTGTTTGTGTACAGGAAGGTGGGACGGACCTCAACGAGCGTGTGACGGTCAGAAGACAACTTGTGACTGACGGTTCTCGCTTTGCACCATGTGGATCCCAGGGCTCGAACTCGGGCCCTCCGACTTGGCCACAAGCACCTTTATTTACCACCGGAGCCATCTCACCTAAGAGTCCCCTTGCTTCTCCGCCAGAATGAGCCTTTTAAACATCAAACTCTACCGTTAGGCGCAAGAGCTGGAAATCACGCCTAATTTGAAACCGACCCACTACTTACCTGGAGTAGTAATGTAAGTCCTCCCTTTCCGGACCAAGACCCAAACTGGCGCTCACAGGGTTGCCACGGTAACCAAAGCTTTGCGGTCCCCGGAACTCCAGTTCTCAGAACCCCAGGCTTCAGACCAACAGGAGGAAATAGAAGGAAAGCAGGGGTGACCGCAGCGAACCGCTTCCGGTCGCACTGCAAACGCGGGGCGCACCCACCTGGCCCTGGCCAGCGCTCCGGGACAGACCTAGCGCGTCTCCGGACCCCCGACAGTGAATACAGAGCCTCGCCGGAAGCCAGTGCGCCAGCATTTCCTGTGAGCATGCGCACAACCTACCGTTGGCATTCCGGCGTGCACCCGCGTAGTCCCGCCCCTAGCTCCTGCATTGCCTATAGGAAAGCAGCCCACGGCGCCTCCACCTCGGAAGTGGTTCCTGATGTGACCCGGAAGTGGATGTTGACTTCCGACTTCCCGTTGGTTTGGCGGCAGTTTCATGTCTGTCTATACAAGAGGGAGAAATGGAACCGTAGTACCAATTGCGTCTTTGGAACTTTTATTTTATACAGTGTTTAGGTTTCTTCGCAGTTTGGGCGAGAAACTATTTTTTTCCTTATCAACTAGGAACCAATCCTATAACCAGATCTACTAATCAATAAGGCATCTTAAAAGACATCCCCAACTGGCTGATGGGACACCACCATTAATCCCAGCCCCTAAGAGGCAGAGGCCAGTAGATCTCTGAGCTCAAGGTCAGCGTGGTCTACATAGCAAATTCCAGGCCATCTGGAAGACCCTGTCTCAAAAAGCAAAACAAAACAAAGACTTGTCCACTTGTCTGGGTGATACACTCCACTAGTAACTTTTATGTAGCAATTTCCTCCATTTGAAACATCCTTTGTGGAGGGAGGCTCATGACACTCAATGTAACAAACTTCACTTTCCTGCAAAAAGACCCTCCCCAAGGATGCAGAAAGAATCAGCTCATAAGGAAGGAGGGAGAGGAGGCTCTGGTCGATCCAGCTACCTACACCTTCTGCAGGGAGCTCCAGTTTTCCAGTCATGAGTCAGGACTGGAGAGATGGCTCAGCGGTTAAAAGCACTGACTGCTCTTGGAGAAGACCTGGCTTTGATTCCCAGCACCCACATGACAGCTAACAACCCTCTGTAACTCCAGTTCCAGGGGACTACGTCGACCCCTTCAGGCCTCTGTGGGAATTGCACAAGTGCACTTACAAGCAGGCAATACACTCATACACATAAAATAAAAATAATAAGAGACCAACCCAGTTCCTTCTCATGGTCCCCAGGAACCCACTGGGCCTGGTCCCACTCTCACCACCCTCTGCTTCCCTGGGCTTCACAACCCACCAGCCTTGTTCCTGGGTAGGTCCAGTAGAGCCCACCTCACCTTGACTCCCCCAGCCTCATTCACTTCCCATCTCTCCCGCCCTGTCTGTCTTCCTAGCCTGGGTACTGGCACATCTCTTGTCTCCGCTGACCTCTTGGCCCGTAGCCACCACTACTTCCTGGTCCTTTGCATCCAGACCAACCCAGTTTCTTCTCCCAGTCCTCAAGAACCCTCTGGGCTTGGTCCCACCCTCACCTCCCTCTTTTCCCCTGGTGTGGTGGTTTGAATGAAAATGGCCCCCATGGGCTCCAAGTATTTGGACATTTTTGTCCCCAGATGATGGTGCTGTTTTGGGAGGTTTTAGAAGGTGTGGCTATCCTGGAGGAAGCACGTCACTGGAGGTGGGCTTACAGAGTTCTTGAGCCTTGCCAGATCTCCAGTTGCCCTCTTGCTTCCTGTGCCTGTGTGATAATGTGAGAGCTTCATTTCTGCTGCTCCTACTCCAGCCACCTCCAGCCACCTCCAGTCACCATGCCTCCCTGCCATGACAGACTGTAATTCCTCTGGAACTATAAGCTCAAATAAACTTTTCCTTCTATAAATTTCTTGGGTCCGTGTTTCTATCACAGCAAGAGAAAAGTGACTAATATAGTTATCCTGCCCCTATCTGGGTCAAATTGACATTTGTGTTACATTTCCCCAGGAAAAGTCTCACACAAGGGTATCAGTGTTTCTCATACTACTAATGTATTCTTTTCCTGAGTCCAGGAGGATCAACCTAGACCACATTCTGGCCACCTTGGCCCTAAACCTGATCTGTTCCTGGCCTGTCAGCTCATTAATGCAGCAAAAATTGGAGAATTAGAGGTAAACCACAGTTCGATGTATTTGAAAAAGGAAAAACCTCTGTGCTTACTCAAGCAATATTACCTTGGAGGTTGGATTCAGGAAAATTTCAAGCCTAGAAGAAATTGTTGAAAAGCAGAGCCATAATGGTATTCCTGAAGCATCAATGCCTGGCTGAGTGAGAGCTCACTTTAGATATTGTTGTTTCAAGATGGGAGTCTGTTATGTAGCCCAGGCCTTGGAGTAATCCTCCTCCCTTGGCCTGTCAAGTGCTGGTATTGCACATGTGTGCACCCAAGACCAGCTCAGAAAGCTTTTATTTAAAAAATCTTTCTGTCTGGTGTGGTGGCTGCACACTTTTAATCCCAGCACTCGGGAAGCAGAAGCAGGCGGATCTCTGTAAGTGCAAGGTCAGACTGGTCTACACACTGAGTTCCATGCCAGCTGGGGCTACGGGGAGACCCTGTCTCAAAAAGACAAAAACAAACAAACAAACAAACAAAAAAACTTTATATCCCAGCACTTGGGAGGCCGAGGCAGGCAGATCTCTGTGAGATGAAGGCCAGCCTGGCCCCCACAGTGAGTTCCAAACTTGCTGGGCCTACAACAGACCCTGTCTCAAACAAACAAAAACCCCAACTTTCTAGGCCTGTAGTCCTGGCACTAGGTCAGCAGAGGTGGGGAGATTGCTGCAAGTTCAAGACCAGCAATGTGGTCTTCATAGCAAAAGGAAAAAGGAGGAAGGGGAAGAAAGGAACAAATGAATTTCATCACTGTAGGCCCAAGATCTTATTAGAGAACTTGATATGCAAATTATATGTAAATATCATGCAAAACAGAACAGTGTTCTATTCCTCTGGAGTCAGAAAGACGGCTCAGCAGATAAAAGCACTTGCTAGGCCTGGCGTGGTATCACATGCCTTTAGTCCCAGCACTCAGGAGGCAGAGGCAGGCGGATCTCTGCGAGTTTAAGGCCAGCCTGGTCTACATAGTGAGCTCCAGGCCTGCCCCACTACAAGTAAACCCTGTCTTAAAAGACCAAAAAAAAAAAAAGCACTTGCTGGATGACCTGAGGAGTTAAATTCCCAGAGCCCATGGTGAAAAGAGAGAATCCATGCCAAAAGTTGTCCTCTGAGCCCTACACATGTGAGTGCCACAGCATGTGAAAACATGAGAACACACAATTATTGTTTATATATAAAAAACAAAACATAGGGACTGGAGATATGGCTCAGTGGTTAAGAGCACTTACTGTACTTCCAAAGGACCCAGATTTTTGTTCCCAGCACCCACAAACTGACTTCAGTTTGCAACTCCAGTTCTAGGAGACCCTGTGCCTTCATGCTGCCTCTGCAGGCACCAGGCACACGTGGTGCACTTACATACACGCAGGCAAAACACTCAGACACATAAAATTAAAATAAAGTCTTGGAGCTGGAGAGATGGCTCAGTGATTAAGAGCACTGACTGCTCCGCAGAGGACCCGGGTTCAGTTCCCAGCACCCACATGGTAACTCCACATCCAGGGATCCAATTCCCTCTTCTGCACACAAGTGGTGCACTTACATACATGCAGGCAAAAGACTCATAAAGTAAAATAAAATTTAAAAATTAAAGGCCAGGTGTGATGGCACACACCTTTAACCCCAGCACTCGGGAGGCAGAGGCAGGTGAATCTCTGTGAGTTCAAGGCAAAAAACAGTCAAAATTTTTAAAAAATCATGAAGTTTATCTAGACCAGCGTGAAGTGAACTAGTGATGCTTGTTACACTGGTACCATCTTCTACTGGCAAAAACTGAAAACCTTGGAAAATAATGTATTGCCTTGCATTCTACTTTGGCTCACAAAGACATTGCCATGTATTTCTGAATTGATTATACTTTCATTCTTAAAAAGTATTTTATGTATTATTTTTATTTTATGTGTATGAGTGTTATGCCTGCTTGTATGTAAGTGCATCTGTGTCATGCAATGCCCGAGGAGGTCAGAAGACAGTGTCAGATCCCCTGGATGTGGAGTTATGGATGGTTGTTAACTGCCATGTGGATGCTGGGAATTGAACCCAGGTCCACTGCAAAAGCACTCAATGCTCTTAACTACTAAGCTAGTTCTCCAGCTCCAATTACACTTTCATTTAATCAATAAGTTTAGTTACAAGACTGGGATCTGGGGCTGGAGAGATGGCTCAGCGGTTAAGAGCACTGACTGCTCTTGCAGAGGGCCCGGGTTCAATTCCCAGCACCACATAGTGGCTATGAACTGTCCTTAACTCCAGTTCCAGGGGAATCCGAAGCCCTCTTCTGACCTCCATGCCATTGCATGACACAGGTGCACTCACATACATGCTGGCAATGCACTTGTACACATAAAATAAAAATAATAAAAAAATTTAAAAAAAGAATGAGATCTTGTGTAACATTTGTCTAAATAGAAAAATTAATATATTACTTTTTAAATCAAGGGTTATACTTAAAATTTTTAATGGGAATAAAATATTAAAGCAATTTACATAGAGATAGCCTATCTAATTATTGAGAAAAAGGGAAGTATTTTATGAGAAAAATTAACCTTTTTGTGTATGTCTTCTAGAAGATTTACATTTCTATTGGAGATCATTGTTTTAGGGAATCAGTGAGAAATGATGAAAGTCGCAGGTCACATCTAGAGCCTCTGTTGAATCATTTGGATTTGCTGTTGTGCATCCTTCCTGGTGTGTACTGTGCCATTTCACATTCCATGTGGATTTAGATAGGAATGAGCTTTCATACTAATTGCAGAGCTTAGTTTTCCAGTGCATAATTGCTCAGTGCCCAGTCTTCATAATGGATTTACAGTTCTATCTATAATTTTATATGCACATACCAATTAAAATGCAGACATCTCCAGAGGTTAGCTTTGTCCCTTTTCTTTCTTAGTTTTTGATGCATATGAGTGTTTGCCTGCATGTGTATATATGTACCATGTGTGTCTGGTGCCTACAAAGACCAGAAGAGGGCATTGGATCCCTTGGAACTGGAGTTACCAATGGTTGAGATCTACCATGTGGGTGCTGGGATTTGAACCCAAGTTCTCTATAAGCGCAGCCAGTGCTCTTCATGGATAAGCCATCTTTT